ATGGAAGTGTGCTGGTGCCAGGACTGGGCGTCCAACAGTTCCTGATGATGTTCAGGAGTGATGGCCTATCCTCGGCAGTGTGGGGACCAGCTAGGTCAGAGGTCAGAAGTCCATCTGCCTCGTCCCGTGAGAAGCCTCGGGGAATACATGTATGGCTGAGTTTGTTTTAAAAATCCCCAATGCCTACGTGCTTTACAAGTGTGGTCTAGTAAGATAGGAAGTAGGAAAAGATGGGAGAATCCCAGAATGTGAATAACAGAAAGACCCTGTCTCAAATTAGATAGGAGGCAAGGAAGGACTCTCCAGTTTGTCCTCTGACCTAAAAATATGTGCCCCCTCAGTCACACATATAGATCAGAAAAAAAAAAGAAAACTATAGTTCGTGCTCACTAATTCAAAGCTTAAACTGAAATTTGGATTCTCCTTGTCTTCATATTTCCTTCTTTTGCATGATCTACATTTAGTCTCTTTCTCTGAACACTTATTTAATTCCTGGGAAAGAAGGAACAAAGGAAAAGTCAAGGCTTCAAACCCAATTTATCAATAACTGGCTTAAGCTTTCTCGTTGTCAGAGTTTCCCCTAAGCATTTAGTAACTTGAAATTCCGAGAGCCCTGTCATCTTTACACGTATCGAGTCATCTTAACCCATATGATCATGAGCACTGGAATACAAAATACCTAACACCCCAATTATTATGCAAATACACAGAAGATAAAGGTGTAATGATACAAAGGCCAATTTATAACCTTTGAAATCCCAGTTAAATAGCCCCCCAGTAAGACTCTTTGAAAAGTACCTCTTGTAATAGTTGCCCTTATTCGTGGGAAGTTAATTCCAAGACCTTGAGTGAGTGCCTGAAAGCACACAAGAGTGCCAAGACCTCTGTAACACCCAGAGCCTTCCCCTTTGCACTCATGGATTCTCTTTGGTACAGCTAAATTGTCACCATCCTTACTCCTGCGCTTCCTGACCATGTGGATTCTTTAAACACAGCACTGCAATGTCATGGCCAATCAACATGCAATACAGTAGTCCAGTGAAGTGACTGGCAGGGAAGCTAGTGTCATGTACAGTGAAGATATGATGGATAAAGGGTGATTTGTCTCTCACTCTGGAGGGTACAAAAAGATGGACCGCACAATACTCGGAACTGTGCACAATTTTATATTAAAGAACTGCTTATTTCTAAAAATCCTCTACTTAATGGTTTCATGCCATGGTTAACTGTAGATAATGAAACCATGAAAAGCAAAAAAATGTAGCAAGTGGAAGCTGTTTTCTGTGTCTTGTGTATGCATACACATCTGTATTAGTGGTCATATGTTATTCACAGAATTCAGATAAGAAAGGAGATCAAAAATGAATGCCAGCTGTCCCCTCCTAGTCAAGAACAACACTGCCTTAATCTGGCTCTACTATGTTTTTTTTTTTTTAAAAAAAAAACACTCGAACCAATAAATTTGACAACCTTTCTTACTCACTCCCTCTCGGGTCATTCCCAGAGTTCACCTTTAATGGTCTCTCACAATGCTCATGGGACTCGAGGTCAATAAAAAGTTTATGTGGAGCAATTTACTTGAGAGATGCGAAGGGAGGGGTTGGGTCACTTTTGACCTAGTCATTCCATGCAAACAGTTAGTTCTAATACACTAGTTTTTAAAAGAACAATAGTAGATTAAGGTAGAAGTCCTTTTTGTATGTGTTGATAAAAAATAAATCATTGGAAACACACTATATATCAAGTGTTAGGCAATAGATTGTGTAAATCCAAATCATAAGATATTACATAGTAATCAAAGAGAGATTTATTTTTTTAACAACAAAAACCCATTTATTTTTGTGAAATGTGCATGATCAATCTTTGAGCATATGAATGGTCTTGGGACTTGTGTCGATGGATCTCCTTCTTGGAGCCTGCTGGGCTGGACACTGGCGGGGTAGAGCCTACAGAAGGAAGTGTTTCAAAGGCAACAGCTCTCGAGCTCCATTACTACTCCAGAAGATGCCATGGAGACAGGGAGTGAGTTCTGATTTTGTTTGGTGAGAGAGAGAGAGAGAGAGAGAGAGAGAGAGAGAGAGAGAGAGAGAGAATGATGTACATTCATCTCAGTTTTGGTTAAGCGTAAAAAGAAATGAAAAAAGGACAGTAATAGCAAAAGCCAAAGCATCTGGCCTACCAAAGGTGCTGGGCAGAAGGAAGGAGACAATTAACACTCCCAGGTGAAGCTTCCAGAAAATTTCCTAGGTAAAGTTCCTATCTCTGCACATTTTACAGAACTCCTCACTGGGTAGCCCACAGGACTAAACCCTAGTCAACCACAGCAGTCACCAGCTTGGTAACTTACTCTTGTTCTCCTCTTTTTCTGGACCACACACCCTCTCCCTTCCCTCTTTCTTGCAATCCACTTCCCGTTAAGAAACCTGAACTCACATCCTTACCTTAAGCTCTCCTGGAAGGTGAGATAAAATTAAGTCATAATATAATATCCCCTTGAGCATCCCACACTCAGAAGGCTAAGTAGAAAATGCCTCTATTCCATCGGTCAATCCAAGCAAGAAAACCCAAAAGGGAAATGTGGTTCTCTCCTTGGGACAGGAGGGAATGAATATAAACTGGGAACGAATATAAAATGATTCTGCGAGTTACTCTGTTGAACCATCTACTGCCAAACACTGGGCATCCATGGAGGTCAGACCCGGTCCTTGTCCTCCAGGAACTCACAATGCTAGAAAGACCCCTCACACACAAAGCCTGAGCCCATTTAAGGCATCTTCTCTGCCCTACACAATTTTCTCGCTGTTCTGACTAATTCAAACTGGATCATGTTTTGGAGACCACAGTATTACATGCACCAGAGTGTATCTGTGAATGCCAGGAATGGGAGGAGCTAGAGTCATAAACCCAAACCACACCCACACAGACGGGGCTCTTCTCCTTTGTTAGGACTCCTAACATTTCCTTTATGGCTTTCAAACTGTGCACCCCCCAATAAGGCGGTCTCATAAGCTGTGGTGGGCTCAAAGGACGCTCCGAGGCAAGGTGTTTGTTCTGTTCACACGACCATGTTCTCACCCTCCACTTTCCCACCCGGAATGTCAGACTCACCTTTAACTAGTTGCTGGATTTGGCCAAGCACGAGGCCAGACCAGCAGAAACGATGGTGCCAGCCATCAGGATTTAGGACAGAAGTTACTAAATCTTCAGAGGCCAGCAAGGCTTGTGTACATAAATACTGCGGGCAGGGGTGTGTGGAAACAGGAACCCCAAGAAGTGGGAGTCCAGTGCTGACAGACGCCGCAACTTTTGTACAGCCACTAAGAGGCCAACATGTACATTTCACACAAAGACACCTAACTTTTTCAAGGGAGCAACCAGCTTCAATGGTTTTTGCTTACCCTGTATTGGCCTGCATAGGACTCGGAGGAGACCTTTGTCCTCTAAGTCACTAGACAGGAATGTCACAGCAATGAACTTGTCCGCTGGAACTGAAGATGTTATTGTCAGTTCACAGAACTGCACAATTACAAAATATTGAAAAGCAGAAAAAAAAAGCAAAGAGAGATTTTAAGGAATGAAATCTAGATAGACACGAGGGACGCGAATTCGTGAGTATTTGATTTGAGGCCAAGGGCATCATATGACATGATGCAGTCCACAGGTCATGTGACTGTAATGCTACGGCAGTATTGCCTCACACCAGGCCTCGCCCTATAAATAGTCTATTGGCTGTCTTCTGCCTTTCATCGGCTTGGCTGCTCCATCCCCACTCCCCTCCAGCCATCTCTACTCCCACACAGATGGCCCTGTTCGTTAAAAGCTACCATCCCACGTTTTACAACAAGCAGCCAGAGCCCACTGTATAAAGAGATCCAAAAAGAAAATCTTCAAAGAAAACAGGGACAAATTACCAGAAGCACTTCATAGGTCTCTTGACCTAAGATTATGGAGGACAAAGCATCCAGACTCCCAGGAGCCAGAGTTCCAAGTGTGGGGACATGGTTGAAGGGTGTCTCCAGCCCCCTTTCTCATCGTGTGTTTTATTTTTTCCTTTTCATAATATACTTTGGTCATATTCCTTTCCCTTCTCCAACTCTTTGCAGATTATCTCGTGTTGGGTCCAAATATGGGGACCAAAGAGGAAAAGCGCTCATCAGGGAAGCCCGAGAACTCATCACCACCTAGAACATGAGTCAAGGCTCTGGAATTCACCTTAGTCAACTGAACACTAGTATACAACTTCTGTCTCGGTCTTTTCCAGTTGCCATAGCTCTCATGGACTGGGGAATAGGTCAGCCAGTTCTGAGATCTCACACTTACAGATTAGCTTTGCCTTTGCTGGTTTGACAGTGAGGGTGGGGGTTGAATACATTTGCCTGTATGTGTATACATGCGTGGATGGTGAGGCACAAGATGTGGGGTGTGGGGGCCCGAGTTTGATGTCAGATTTCTTTATTTGGCTTAGCCAGGTTGGCCTGGGGATCCCTTGTCTCTGCCTCTCATGTGTTGAATTACATCTGGGCCGCCACACCCGCTCATCCTTCTCCATGAGTTCTAGGAATACAAATTCTTATCCTTGTGCTTATATAGCAAGCATTTTACCTACTGAACTCTCTCCCCAGATCTGCCCTGCTTATTTTTCAGAACCACGTTGATGACCTCCAGAAGCTGCTCTTCTTGGCAGAACATCTGAAACTTATTGATAATGACTGGAGGTAGAACATGGCCTGGTACCTTTATGCAAAGATTCACTTATGCAAAGCATACCGAATATCTATCAGATATTTGATCCCCACCATGCATTAGACCTGGGGCACACTGTGGGACCACAGAGTACTCCTTAGCTCAATAATTATACTCAAAAAATACCTTTTTTTTTTCAGAGAAGACGACAATTTATTTAGAGACCTTGGGGTGGAGAGGTGAGCTCGATGATGATGATGGTGGTCTTGGGCCTGCAGCCGGAGGCACTGTCGTCTGCATCACCCACTGGGACAAATGTGACTTGGTACTGCATGGAGTCAAGCATCTTCTTCAGCCAAAGCATGTGTATCTCACTAGGGAGAAAAAGGAAAAGCGGTGAGGGAACCCTGCAGGGGTCTGTGTTCTTCACATAGAAACCTTCCCAACTCTGCTACCTGAAGATGCCATCAAAGGCCAGGTTTCAAAGAGGTCAGTCAAGTGATAACATCAGTGTCTCCTACAGAGTGGACAAAATCACAGGGAGGCTATATAGCACAAACAGTGAACACAGACAGATACTTGGTTCTTTGTGTGCAGCTATAGAAAGTTGGATAGTTTGGAGAAGGAGGAGAGCATATAGGAAAAATTGCGCTAAGGGAGAATTTTGGAAACTATCTGATGAGCTATGCTTTATGCTCTATACTTTCAAGGATGTCTGCCTGACCTTTTGATGCTGTGATATGTCAACAAATGTGTTTGGGTACACTTATAGCTATCAAGGGATGCATAGTTTGGGCATGTCAACTTTAGATCAGAATGTGCTGTTTTAGAAAGTTGGCTAAGATGGACTCAGTTTTGAGAGACCCCTTTGCCATCAGAAAGTGTCATCAGTACCTTTGACTTTTGCTCCTTTTCTGGGGTGATTTCTTTGCTTTGTGTCTCTGTGGAAAATCCTCCATGCAACATGTTGGACACCAACATTTACAGGCTTTTGCCATCTTCTCAAGGTCCCCAACTCTGGTCAGCAGTGAGGTTCCAGTTGAGATTGCCTCTGGCTGCTCTTCCTGTCATCTCTCTTTCTCACCCCAAGTCCATCAGTCCGCAGCAGTCTGACCATCCCCCCTTTATAAGTGACTGTGACACAGACCCTCTCAGTCAGGGACCTGATGACTGGCGATGCTTTGTCACAATGAGGGCTTGCTTGGGTGGTTGGGAAGAGCACTGGACTATGTAGAGAACGCCTAGCAAATGCTTTTGAGAACGCCTTAAATTGACTTGATAGTCTTCGGTGCAGTACTTAGCTCTATATGAATGACGCAAACCAAGTAAAAGCACAAGTCTGGCATTTTCAATAAGCATGCACTATCAGTTTCATTGTCTTAATTTTAGACATCTGAGCAGGGACTTGAAAAATATAGAATTCTTAAATAACTCTCTTGAGTAATTGACATACGAGTTACAGTCTTTCCAGGACAGATTTGAGAAGTTTTGACATTGCTATACACCCAATGACCATACTGCCACGGATCAAGGTAGAACGCATCCAATGTTCCTGGTAGCTCCCCTAGGTACCTCCATAATTCCTCTGCTCTCCTCCTCCGATACCTGACAATGTGGTAGTCAAAGTTCCTAGCCAGCATCTTTATTTAAAGATGTGCACTGCCCTTGCTCCTTCCCCTCAAAACCCCACAGAGATAGAGCTTCAACCTCAAGTCCAATATCTGAGAAGTCATGTATGCAAATAGATCTGGACAGAATCTAGTATGTATAAAATGTGACCAAAAGATGTGTTTGAAGGGTTCATGTTATGATGCAGCCTTGAAGTGTGGGATCTTTGGGTTTTGGAGGACAGAAGAGGAATTCGCTCCATGTTAAGAACCACTGCTTTCTCTGTGAACCCATTCTTGCTCACTCTTCACATATTACATACCTAAACAGAAGTGGGGGTGCTTGAAAGAGAGAATAGAAACCCTAGCTGGAGAGGAATACTGGAGGTGGAAGAGAGGGGTACAGATGGAAACATGGAGACTATGAACTACATCTGTTAGGAAGGCTTCCTGAATTTTTCAAGCAAAGAGTGATATACAATTAAGCCTTCTTTGCAGGAAGTGTCCCTGGGCGGCACTGAAAGAAAAGAAAACCTTTAGCAGCCTCTATAACAATGTATCTGAATGTTACACGGATTTTCACAGTGGGCTACCATTCATTTCCAGATAAATGTGGACAACACAAATGCAGATTTAATAACTACAAGGAAAAAATAGAGTCCCAGAACGCGCCAGAGACCAAGCCTAGTGAAATAGGAGTTTGGTGCTGCCCATCAGCAGGATCACGTTGGCAATGAGGGCCCAAGAAATGTCATCTCCCAGCCTTTAAATCCAAGTTCCCAGCATTCTTTCACAAAGGAGTACTAAAGCAGAAAATCTATACTTCTGTCATTTATTCTTCCCAACCTGAGGTTTTAACCTCAGTGAGAGCAAAAAATAAAGTAGAAGGAAGAAAGAGGCAAGAGACAGAAGAAAGAGAGAGTGTAAGTCAACTACATATGTACCTGTCTGCAAAGTGCTTCGGGTGGAAAGGGAGATGGGGCAGGTGTCATTGGCCAGAAACATGCGCATCACAAAGACCCAAGGACTCAGAGACCCTAGGTTTACACTCTGCTGTTTCTGCCAAATTTTTTAAAATTTGTTTAACATGACACCAGTAGATTTCACTTTCACCATGAATAATAGAACTGATTTGGGGAAGCAGTGACTGCCTGGAACAGATGTTGCAAGAGGTGACACATAGACCAGGAACACCTGTGCACTTCCCTGAAGGGCTTTTAAGAGTCTCCTACCTTAGATAGAGCAAGAACACCTGTGTGCTTACCTGGAGGGTTTTTTTCCAAGTCTCCTACCTAAACTAGAAACTGTCTGGAGCTCAGCTTTTGTCTTTTCTTCCTTATAGCAAGAAGAAAATGTCCCTATAACCATTGCAGAAGAGCATTCTATGGAGGAAACAGACATTTCTGTTTGTGCCAGAGTCCCCACCAGAATGCCAGGCCATGGTATGCTGTTACCCTTCACACTTCCTCCAAGGAGAATAAGGCTGACCTGTATAGAGCGCTTATCGACAATAAAATCTAGCTACTGCCGCATTCAAACAACTGGGGATGTGTTTTGTCCTTACCTAAAAACCTAATCTTTAAAGATTTTTCTAGGCAGGTTACATGTGCTCTCCCAACAGAGGGACATGAGGGCAGGGGTAAATGTCACTAGACCTCTATGCTTACAGCTGCAGAATTCCATGACCATAGGCAAGTTCCTTTGTTCTCATTCTTCCTGTAGTTTTGACGGCTTCACTTATGGGAATTCTATCAGTACCTAGGCAGAGAAGGAGTCAGCTCCATCATTCTGCAGCCACAAGCAAACAGATATTCTCCCTAGGAACAGAGTCGGTAAAGGAAGTCAGAAGAACAAAACAAGCCTGGTCAGAATGGTTATATCATTGATGGTAAAAGCAATCCATGAGTAGTCATGATAATGATACATTCAAGGATCCTTCTTAGGTCCAGCCCTACTGCTAAGTATCATGGGGCCATCTGGCACCTCCTCTGCCTGCTGCACTGGCACCAACACGGTGGTCACAATGCTTTATATCATCAATTATGAGGGTGCTGGCCTGAACATGTGGCAACCTCTGAATCTTGACCTTCTTAGTGGCAAATAAAAAAAAGATGGTGGAACGCCTTCAGTAAGGCAAGGACCCCAACACATGGCTCTTGGAGCATAAGAAAGAGGATAAAGAAGCAAGAATAAATGCATAGGGCAGGGAAAGGAAAGCCAAGGAAAAGACATTTCAGCTGCACATCCTGGCCCATGTCAAGAAGCCTGGCTGGGGATGAGGAATTCTGGGCATGGTGTCTGACTTTGTCTATGTTCTCTAGAAACCCTCCAACTCAAATGTCCCTACTCCAGTTGATAGACAGATCCAAACACACTCATTTCTACAGACCAAATGTGACCAGGTAATTTAATACAAATGCAAATTGAAAATACAGATTTCCAACACCCTAGTATGTGGTGTGACTTTGGCCTCTAACAAAAAAAGCTACAATGTCAGGCTATTTTGAGAACATGTATACTCTTTAGGGCTAAAGTTAGTAGGGACAGGAAAGTGGTCAGTGTTACCTGGACCCTTCTGAAGCATGAAATTTGAATTTGCTTTGTGTATAACCACACCATGCAGGTTATTATTAGTGATGACTTCTGGGAAAGCAAAATAAAATAATTTTTCAGAAGTTCAAATAAACTGGACTTTCAAATCTCTGATTTAAAGTTTGCCTTTGCAGATATAACATTTCTCCCAGCTCGCTCCTCCTTTCATATTTCTCCCACCATGATCCTGCCATGGTGAAGAGTCAAGAGTCAAGACTGAACATATTTTTAAGCCAAGTGGAAAAGACACTGTGGAGCAGTGGGAAGTCCTCAGGTTTGAGATAAACAAAGGGTTGGTCAACAATGTCACTTCCAGTGCCTACTTACATTCCTTTAGGCAAGGAACCCCCAAAACGAACATGATAAGGACCTCAGAAGGGTCTTCCACAGATACTGAGTCCCTAACTTCTAGCTGCTCACTATCTATGTTACTAAAAACTTAGCAATTGTTTCTAGAATGACCCAGGGAATTCTGTAGGAAAGATGAAACAGGAGCCAGAAAAAAAAAATGTGATCAAGGAGAACATCTAGAGAACCAAGGTGTTCTCAGCACTTGACTGTAGGAGTGCGCTGAGTTCAAGTCCCTCCTCTTCTCTCAGAAAAGCACTATTTGTCCTGAGTCTCTCGTCTTAGTTCTCTACCAAAACATCAGATGTATGCTTGGCTTGGAAGGCTCTGGCCCTTAGTAAGGTTTCTCATCTGTTTTCACCCTCCCCAGCCTGTCCCCATGCCCATGGCATGTCTGAACAAAAACATCAGCAGCCATACACAAGACAGCATGTCCATGTGAACAGGGTAGGAGGTCCCCACTCCCCAGCCGAAATCAACATCTGGAAGACTTACATTTCAGAGAGGGACTCAGACTTAGTCACCAGCATGTGTAAGGGCTGTCTGAAACTTTAACATTCTCCCTCTTCATAACTTGATGGGCAGATCCATCTTTGTGATGATGTCTATTGGACTGCTCAGGAAAATCAACAGAGTGTAGAGAGGTGAGAGGGGATTCCCAATGACCATGTGATGGCCTCGACAGTCACGCTCTGAACTTGTCCTTCCTAAGAGCAGGGCCAGTGGGAGACTTGGCCTCAAAGTCTTTAACTACAGTGGAGTTAAGGACTACTCCATACAGCCCACCCACCTGTGAAATCGACCTCTCTTTCTCTCCCTCTCCTTTT